CTCCAGAGAAACAGAGGGAAAGATCTGGCAGTGTTCTGCTGCTGGAGTGTCTCCCGTGAAACAAAAGGGCCGAGAAAACTTGTTCGACGGTTTAGAAAGTGCATTGCGGATTGGCAGATCTCGCGCGCCACGTCATGGCGTGCTGGCTTTCACACCCTCGTTTTCATGCATTTCATGCATTGCCATATAAAAAATGAGGTAAAATAAGGTAAGGTAAGGTAAGGTGCAATCACCCTTTTCTTTTCCTTATCGACGTTTAAAACAAGAAACTTTCCATACTTTGAAAATTAAAGATTTTTTGCATTCTTTTAAAGTAAGTGGAAGAAGACCCAGCAAAAGAATTAACCTTGATCTTATAGGAGTATGTTAATTAAAAGGTTAATCTACGGAGTGAATTTGAAAAATTACATTGATTGGAAAGTTTTTGTGGGGGACCTTGTTGGCTTCATGTCAACGAATTCAAAACTTGTGAAGAGATGAGGATTCGAATATGGGAAAGTCCGATTGCGTGCTTATCCACAACGTTGGATCCAACACATCGCCTTTGACTTCATCATCATCAATACGGAAACTCGGTCGTTTTTCAATCTGGCCACCCGAACATGGAAATCCGATTTTCTTTTTTGGTTGCCCGATAATGTGGTACACTGATTAAGCAGGTGAATATGGTAATATCGTACATACTTAACACGATTGGAAGATTTTGAATCAGTACTACTAAATCAGTCAATCCAAACTCATAAAAAAAATACAGCTTCTCAAAAGGGCACACTGCTTCGGATCATTTCGATGGTTTCGGCTAATGACAGAATACCAAATTACGTTTATATTTAGTTTTTTTATCGATGATAAATGATTATCCATCACGTGTTTTGAATTACCACTCTTTAACGAGATATACTTCTATCATTTGTGTATGCCCACGAGTGATCCCATTGTTCAGGTTTTTTTAGATTAAATTTAAAAATGTGCGGATTGCTTGTCATGTAGTGGCTGTAGTTTAGTGGTAAGAATTCCACGTTGTGGCCGTGGAGACCTGGGCTCGAATCCCAGCAGCCACAACATTCATGACCTTTCTATCCTTTTCTTTTAAGCTAATTTCTTTTCTTTTCTTTCTCTTTTCCAAAATGATCGTTTGATCAAAGTTTTCGAGACCCTCATTCACTAAATCGTTTTCTATGTTGAGTAACCCTCGTACATCGCAAAGAATTAAAGCTTTTTTTGGCCTTGATTAATTTAAAGCGGAGTTGGATTCGTCATTTGGCAAAGAGCGTTGCATGCATTTAGCGATGGATTAATCTCATATTCAAAAGTTCTGTTCATTTTGTGGAAAATGAATGATTTAAGAAATATTCTCCTCAAAATGATCGTTAGTATCGCTCAAAATAATTAGTTAATGGAAAATATTTTCATTATTGACATCAATTTATGCTTAAATATTTTCGAAAACGATGAAAATATTTTTCGTTCACTCATTTTTATAAGTGATACAATTGATCGTTTTCAGAAAATCATTTTTCAAATTATTCATTTTCTAATGAAATAAATGGAGCCGAAAAGCCTCCATTAGAGTTGATCAAAAGAAATCGACTGCACCACAGTGAACAGGTCAGTTTTGGGCTGTTCTCATGGGCACCAATTCGGTTTCCAATTCTAGAAACTGAGAACCAATCTCTCTAGTCAGGTTCTCGATTCCCCGGTAGAAACCGGACCACCCAAGAACCAACCGCCCCTATTCTCAATATCTTCCTAATATCGTTAAAAAAAAGAAGGAAAGAGAAAAAAAATGGGGGAAAGTATGGGCCCGTGGTCTCGAAAGAGGCCCAATCCAGAATCCCACAGCCTTTCGCGTGCGCGTTGGGATGCGACGGCGATCGCCGCAACAAACCTCCAAAGTCGCCTTCGAAAGAACACCGAGACAAAGGGCGGTTCGTCCTCTCCGTCTTCTTCACTCTCCCGATTCAGATCCGATCGTGGTCCCTTCGTCGGCGTTTTCCCTCGCCTCATCATCGCCGCTACGGTACATCTCTCTCTCTCTCTCTCTCTCTGCAAGCGTTCCTGTCGCTGTCGGTTAGCTTTCTGATTGAGTGATTAGCGACAGCGTAGCTCCGATCCGATTCATGGCTAATCGCGTCTTTTAAGGTTGTTTTTTGTTCGTCCGTCCCGATCGCATTGTACCGTGTTCGCCGAGAATGCTAACGATGTCTGAAAATGCGAGCGGCGGTCGTAAGGGACGAAGCGGTTTTTTGTCCCGCGCTGCTCTCCGAGCGAGGTCTTTGGTGTTTTAAGAGTAGAGTTGGTTTGGGGAGGACTACGGCGTGATCGCATAGCGGAGTGGATATCGCGTTAGACTCCGGATCTAAAGGTCGTGGGTTCGAATCCCACTGCGATCGCCCTGTTTTTTGCCCGTCGTTTTCCAGCATTTATGTCTGTCATCTTCTTCCCTCGGGATTCGCTTGATTTTGTGGTCTTTTCTGTGGCTGTTGATTGTATGAACCAGAAATTCTCTGAGAAAATTGCTGCAAAATGCAGCTCGTGAGCAGCTGTGCTCGAGTTTGCTGTCTTCTCTGGACAGTGTCTTACCCCCATAGAGAATGTTGCAAGAGTCTCTTTTGTTGATATCCTGATGCTCTTCTCTGGTTTCATTGATTTGGTTACTGGGTTTCGGCACGAGTCGACCAGTAAGTTGCTTCCGCAAATGAAGAAAACGGTTTACGGTTTGCGGGCAAAACGACGGTTTTAGTGGAAGGAAGGTATTAAACCCGAAGGGGGAGAATTGCGTAGGCTTTACAAGAATTAGGATGCCGAATGCTCTTACAATGAATGACGTTTTGTGTGATGAAATTCCCGTGCCTCGACTGTTTCTTCCAGCTTTCATGCGAATAAACCTGAAGACCAGCATGGTTCTCTGGGGCTTACTCATGAATCGGTTCAATATGTTCACTTCCAGTTACATGTCTTTGTGGGTGGGGGCAGAACACCAAATTGGAAAAACTGTTTTGGGGCCGTGTATTCGCTTTTCGCTATCTGGGATTATTTCAAGCTATTGCTATCTCACTCGAATGATTTCGCTTGACTAATTTATGAGTTGTGTTTTGACAGTCTCTTCGTTCATGCATCCTGCGCTTCACCTAGTGGCTAGGACCATTGTCCTTGACCGGAGCAGCAGCCTTAAAGCAGTTGATGGACTGTATCTGGAGGGACAAGAGAGTAAGTGAAAACTGATTATCCTCCTCTCATCACCACCTTTATTCAGCCTTACGAGACTTTTAGATAGATTGCTACACATGAAGGGGGTTACCAATTTATCATTTGTAAGGCCTTAGAGTAAGAAGTGTTATCATTTTCATGTTTACTGAGTCAGAGTGTTAGCATTTTCATGTTACGAATCCTACAGTAAATTTACCATCTATAATGATAAACAACCATTACAAGTAGATCACGACCAATAAAGTTAGATTAAGCCCCCAATCAAAATCTTATCAGCCTCGTTTTCTCTGCAAGTGCAAATAGACTTCGTTCCTTACTTGCCTCAAAACTAGCGGGGACCTTTATGCTAAATTCACCACAAACAGCTAAAGTGGGAGCAAAACAATGTTGAAACATAGTAGGAAGGTAATATAGCTCATGGAGAAATCGTCGTATTTTCCTATAATCGCATGTGGAATTTCTATATATATTACGAGAGTCCCATATATAAATTCTACTGTAGGTTTGATTTATCTACATTTATTTACAGGGTGCTCTTCTTGGTGTCTTGATGAAACTTCGACTCTTTTTTGATGGAAAATACCATTTAATGGTTGGGATTTAGCATGACATCGAGAAAAGTAAAGCATGCTAATGGAAACGGCGGGGAACGGGGATTAAGTGAAAAGCACTGTGAAGATGTCTGTAACGTTCGGGGGCCCCCGAAGAGGGCTCCAATGATGAGCCGAATAGCTGCTGCTGCTAATTTATGAGTTGTGTTTTGACAGTCTCTTCGTTCGTGCGTCCTGCGCTTCACCTAGTGACTAGGACCATTGTCCTTGACTGGAGCAGCAGCCTTAAAGCAGTTGATGGACTGTATCTGGAGGGACAAGAGAGTAAGTGAAAACTGATTATCCTCTGTACACCATCACCTTTATTCTGTAGCTTGGAGTAAATTTTCTATTTTAAGTAAAGCTTATCCTCACTCGATTGCTAATCCTATGAGTTGACAACTATTGCATGCTCTATGCTTCGTCACTCGATTTTTCTCATCCACTTTCATCTTCATGATGCATCCGTGAAATACTTCTCTGTCCTTCTGATTGTGTGCCTGGCTTCTGCAGAATTGAAAGATCCAAAGGATAAGTAGAGAGCCCAGCTGCGCAAAGAAGCCTATTCTGTATGGACTTCGTGCCAAGTGATGCGTTAAATAAATCCTATTTTTCCTGGCGTCCACACGCTGGTTAGACTCTGTATGAACGGATCAGCCAGAACTCATTTCTTCTACCTTGGGATCATTTCCCATTTTCAGCTGTAACCCACACCGCACAAGAAGGAAATGTTTTTGTGAAGGTTCTGTTGATTAGCTGTAAAACTGCTTCGGCCGCGACCGGATCTCTACCTCAATTGTGTGAGAAGGAAGACGAAAAGAAACAAACACATATCTTGGAGTTGATGGCAAGGTTGGATGCACACAGATCACGAGGATTGCAATAATTCTGTAATGAGAAAAGAGACCAGATTTGTCTCGTGTAAATTGATGCGACATGCACTATACAGTGTTAAGTAGATACTTTTTCCTCCCTACTTAGGAGAAGAAGATTATGTTACAACTTACAAACACTTAATATGCTTCGGTAAGATCGCAAGACTGAAAATGAGAAGATAACTTTGTCCTGGTTATGTGTTTTGGAATTGTACTGTATTATACTATAATCTACACATGTAAGACGCTAAAATTCTTGCAATCACCGTCATTACTATGTAGAACGCCCTTAAACCCTGTGAGCCTTGGTTACTATCTTTGCTTAATGGGGAATGGGGGTGGCTCTTGGGGAGACACCAAATTAACCGTCCTCCTAATCGGGGTGGTATCGGCCGCGCTCGTGGTGACGATCTACCACTGCATATCCGTTGGCTGGTGCAGGCGGCACTTGGGCAATAACCGGCCTCAGCGGCTACGCGTTCTTGTCACCGAGGCCTTTGAGACGCCGAGCAGCATCGAGAACTCGGCCATTCATCTGGTTCCGACCCACAAGTATCAGAAAGGCGACAAGATAGTGGGCGAGGATGGCATTTGTGCGATATGCTTGAGCGAATACGAAGAGGGAGAGGAGCTGCGCATCTTGCCGGAGTGCATGCACTCGTTCCACGTGCCGTGCATCGACATGTGGCTGTACTCGCACTCGAGCTGCCCGATGTGCCGCTCCGATGCCACCCCCTCGCCGCAGATAATCCCGATGAGGAGGCTCGGCTCGGCCGGCAGCGAGGAGGCGGATCAAGAAGTCACCGTTACATTGGAAGGCATCGTTGTACAATCCCATCAAGTACTGTGAAATTTCCTCTAGCGCTTTCTTGTTTTTCTCGAAGTAAGTGCTGCCCACAATTTCATGCATAAAATGGAGTAGAGAGAAGAAGCAAGAAGCCCCAATTTCCTAAACAGGCGCACTCCATATCTTATCTGCATGCAAGATGTATAGATTCAACTAAGAATTGTGCTCAGAGCTAAGTGGGTGTGCTCAAATTTGGCTGAAAATCTCATAACTTGATCTGATTTTTATTGGTTAATCCAGTTTAGTTGAACATTGTAAAACAAACTCGATTATGACTAAGATAACCAAAGAACAAATTCTATCACTGGCCCCTAAATCAGATTTCACTGATCGAAGCTAAAAGCATATCTTTCCTCTCTTTTAGGAACCCTAAACCTTCATGGGACCAACAATCATCTACACCAACCAAAAAAAAAAAAAAAAGCAAAGCAAAAAAACGAAACAAAACAAAGACGAAGACCTTCATAGGGCCAAGAGGGACCTTGAGACTTGTGAAATTTCATTCATTGTTCCGACCATATGCCTAATCTGGAAGGTATGCTTCACGTTCAGACGAGGGGACCATCCATTTTTTTCCCAAAAAGTTTTAGAACCCTGTTAATGTCATTTCATCTTTTGCCAATGTAAACTATGCTCGCACGAATCGTCAATGGTCGACCTTGGTTGATCCTTAGGTTTAATGTCTTGTTGCTTGGTCTTGTTAACAAGGGACTATCTTTAGTGCGTTGATTAGTGACAGCAATGTAGTAGTGTCGGAACGGAAGAGTGTGAAAACTTCAAAAGGAGCAACTGTCCAAAAGTTTTTATTGGGTAAATTTCGATCTTAAAAGTCATACCGTGCAAAATATTTCGTTTTTTTCTAAGCCTAGGCGTGGAAATATGTAATTGGGAAGGCAAATAGGAGCCTTGAAGGACTTGAATTCAAGACCTTCTGCTATGATATTATGTAAAATTTTATGGAACCACTGTCAAGTATTCTAAAGGCATAAACTGTTAGATGAAATCATGATTTAATAATTAATATTCTAATAATAACAACTCTCCTAATAGTTCTTCGGATGGAGTTCATAACATTCTAATCGTTCAGTGATGGTTTATTTAAGTAGCCATATCACTTGTAGTTATCCTAATAGTTCTTGTAATTACGGGATTTCAGAATTCTATGAGAAAGTCTTTTCTAATGTAGAACTGTTGGATTTACCAGAAGTGAAGCTGGGAGCAATAGATGAAGCTACTTACAGTTTAATAATTTGTGAGATCGATACATGCATGGATTGCATCTGCATCCGGGATGGAACATGTTCATTCTTATGTATATGGTTATGACTAAATGTTAAAATGATTTAAGGACATGAAAGTGGTCCATATATATAAACAAGTTTTCCCTAAACAGTTGTTAACCTACGATGTAAAATATTCTAGGACCTTTAAGAGAGAGGAAGAGAGAATCAATAAATACACTTTATTAGAAAAGCGTATTCATATCCGAGCAATATGCATAGGAGAGAAAATAATATAATAAGGAAATTAACTATGAAATGTCCCTAATGTTTAATAATATCTCTAACAATATTCTCTAACGGGAATTCTTGAGTTTTCATAAATATACTTCGACACTACCTTCAAATCTAGCTTGCATGTGACAGAGGCAACTTTCTTCTAAAGTTTGTGACCAAACAATATGTAAGCCAAACCTTACACTAAGCAAGGGATGCTGATACATTGAACCAGATTCAATACAATAATCATTGTGTAAGCCAGACTTTACACGACAAATTAAACGTAATCCACGTCATTATTGGATTTGACAAGCACCGAAGAAATACATGATCAAAAAATTGACACATCTTTCTCATACAACCTTCATAGAACTATGTGGAAACCCAACTTGAATTGCGGCAAACTAAACAACATCACCCCACGATGTTCAACTTTGGCTACTCGTTGAAGGTATACACTTGACGACACCTTCACTCATTGATGACACTTGCAATTGAAAGAGAGTCTCGTAACTAATAACATCCATGGTAGGCATTGAGTGTTGACAAAACAACAACTTCACTCATCGATGACACTCGCAATTAAAAGAGTCTCATAACTAATAACATCCATGGTAGGCATTGAGTGTTGACAAAACTGAAAAGTTACTGAAGATGAGGTGACAAAAGATGGAGAGGCACAGCTCCCCTAACAATGAGCAGAGACTCGAATGAAGCTCGACATGTTGATAGAGACGAAGATGTTCATGTTGCTGGCCATGGGAAGGGAATAGAGAAGCCCATGGTTGCAATAGAGACAATGATTGAGACTAATGGTAAAAAGAAAGAAAAAGCTAGTTGATTTGGGTCCATTTCTCTTGATGGCTCTGATACCATGTAAAATATTTGATCTTCATTAAAAACCACATCTTTAATTAATTGACTTTTCATTGCACTTTATTAGAGAATAGTATTTATACCCGAACACTATCCATAGGAAAGGATATATTCTAATAAAAAAAATTAACTATCTTAGAAAATAACGAAATATCAAATAATATCCTTAATACCTAATAATATCTCTAATATATGGAATTCTCTAACATTCATATATACAATCCCAACCATAGGACAAATGAAGCAGGAAAATGCTAAATTTGTCACTCAGTCACATTCAATTCAAGTCCAAGCTGTCATAGCTTGAAAAAAGATAATTAAATGCCTCAATCAACCATACAGTTACGGATCATGCATCTGTTTATTAATGATGACAAATGTATCCAGCACTTGAAGACCCACATTTTTTGCTAATTTGATTGTGTTTGAGTACCAAAACTTTCCCTTATTGAATGAAGTGTAAACATCTGTGCGAAATTCTGGCACTTTATCTCCTGTCCATCAATGGCTAAACATTGGACCCATCAACCGCCAGAAGAAGCAGATGGCTGAGTTCATCTACCAGAAGCCAAATCCTAGACCAGATCAGCGATTCAAACAAACGGAAAAAATAATGTACAGTCAATCAGGGAGAGAGAAGTTAGCTTATCTGCTCACCAAAGTTCAAAGGGCCTTCAACAGTTTTTGGACTTCTATGCTCGAAGCCTTAAACAGAGATCATGTTCATGCCTAACAACTTGGTCCCGACAACCATCGACAATATCGTTCAATTTGCGTCCGATTCAAATCTGCTATTGCTTGACTCAAATAATTCACGATTCAATAAGTGAATGGTTTGATTTCAATAGTCAAGTCATGTCTCATCGATGTTGAGCATGGAGTTGGGAGTCCAGTTCAAGCACGAAAAATGGAACTGAATAGACCCATTACAGAGATTCAAATTCAAATCTAATTAAGCTCGTGTAGTTCATTGTCTGGAGCGACTTGATGATGACTTCCAAGCAGAGCATACCAAAAAATTCACACACGAACCTTTTGCGACTCATTTTCTATCTGGGCATTAATTAAGGATTTGAATTAAAAGATGCCATCCTTTAAAGCACTTGGGGAGTTGAAACAATGGGCAACCCCAGTCAGTCACACAGAATCAGATGGTCATACTCGATGTGGACTTTGAAATTAGCTGGGGGAATTTCATGTCAAAGTTGACACAGATTCTGAAGCTTTTCCTTAGGGCTTTGCATGTACAAAATTGCCCTCCCTAGCCAAGGACACCTCATGAGAGCTCTGCGGTGGAAAAGGACATGCACAGGAGGGGCAAGTATGTAGATGCACTTGGAAATTCCACCACTTAATGATATTAAAGTCACATCCTTTTCCTTCTATTTGTGATCCCATGTGAGCATTCCTCGAGGGATGTGATTTTCCAACCATATAAAAAGAAGACAATCAGTAAAGTATATTGCCGACTCTCTTTGCCTCTTCTCTTGTTGCTGTAATCATCTCCCACTTCACTAAACATGGTATCCATATGCTTTACTCCCATTAAAAGAGCAGGGGGGGAAGATTTTTTGTTTGCTGGTGTCTGGTGAAATCTAGATATAGTGAAGCCCCTCAAGAGTCTCAAGACCCTCACATGGCAACAGTGAAATTTATCCAAAAGTTAGCTGGTGCTCTTGCGTTGTAAAAAGGAAGGAGAGTTGAAGCTTCTTCTTCATCGTCAATTTTGATGATTTATGGATGGTGGTGATGTTTAAGGAAAGAAAACATCTTTGGGTTCGTTTTTGACAGTTGGGTGATGTGAGTTTATTCTCAGCTGATAAAGTGGGCATTTTTCACCACCAGCTTCTTATTTGTTGATGAAGCAGCAAGAGATTTCGGAACCCACGACGGAGCTCAACCGAGTGAAGTTCTTCTTTGGAGGGTTCACTTCTTGGTAGTCGTGAATAGAGAAAAGATTGAAGCTGCTCTCAGAAGTTCAGTCCAAGGTTCTTTTTCTTTGGCAGTTTTGCAATGTGCTGTGCAGAGTGGTTTGCTCTAACATGCATTTGGGATTTGGGTTATTTCAGAAAGTGAATTTTCTAATTTTATCTATTTAGCAATTATCTGTAATTAGGCAAAGTAGCTTCTCTTCCCTTGATTGATTTAGAGAAAGACAACACCAAAGTGGGGTGGAAAAGATGAAATCTTTGAGTGGAATTGGACTGGGGTTGAGTGTGGTCTTTGGTTGCCTTGTTTTAGCCCTGTTTGCAGAATTCTATTATTTGCTCTGTTGGAAAAAGAGGATCACAAGTAGAACGATTGAAGAAGGCTATAACAACACCCCAACTAAAGAGCTCCTTCACATTTTCTGCTGTAAAAAGCCGACTTCTTTGGGCCAAACAGCTTTGAATCCCCAAGAACTCTCTGCTTCAGGACTAATCTCTAATACCCAGTTGAACGATTGCCAGAATCAGGTACAACAACTACAAGTCCACTCAAACAAGGATATTCTGGTAAAACCATGTGAAGAGGAGAGCATGGAGACAGAGCTCATGAGGCTGCACAAGCTTGGAGGGCCTCCCAGATTTCTCTTCACCATTGTTGAAGAGACAAAGGAAGACTTGGAGTCAGAAGACGGCAGGTCCAGAGGCGAAAAGGGCTCAAGAGGAAGGAGCTTGAGTGACTTGCTTTTTACTGTGGAGACCCCATTTCTCACTCCTCTTGCCTCTCCATCTCTCCTCACGCCCCCTCTCACTTCCCCTGCGAACACATACCATAACCCGCATGGATTCAACCCTCTCTTTGAGTCCTCAACTGATGCAGAGTTCAGCAGGATCAGGGCATCACCACCACCAAAGTTCAAGTTCTTGCAGGATGCAGAAGAGAAGCTGAGAAAGAAAATGAGGGAGGACTCTGAGAGGAATGTTGTCAGAAATGGTGGTCACATTCATCATTATAGTCAGAGTCAGAGAGTTACTGATTCAAAGTCTGTGGGAGAAGTGGAGGAAGACGGGTCATTCTTGAGCATCCTAATTGATAAAAACAGGAGAGAGAAGTGAATCGCCAGCATCATCTCTCCCCCGCCCAAACTAAAAAACTTGACAGGTATGCTTGCTCTATCTATTCTAGCCTCTTATTCTTTCATTATTATCACCCAGATTGATTCAAACATCGAAACTAGTGCGTCTAGCATTAACATACGTCAATTAAAGTTAGTACTTCATTTTTCCTTTCCTTTACCCATTTCCTGTCACGAGATGTTTAGACCAATTTTCTTCAGAGTTATGGGTAAACATTTTTCTTAATAAACTCTTATGGGTTTTAAATTTCATGCAGTTTCTTGGTTAATCCAATCCACAACAACCCTTGTACAATGAACCGCGAATTAGTGAACTTTCAAGAGAAGAGAGAAGAAGACTGGATCCTGCAAAAAGATGTAGAAATGAAAAGGTGGGTCTCAAGGCAAGTGGAGGACCGGTGGGGTTAACTTTTTTTTTTTATCCAACTCCAGGTCTGCTCCTGATTTTTTACCTGTGTAATCATTCTTGTGAGTGAGATTACTGCTGAATACTGATGCTTCAGTCAAAAGCAGTGTGATTCTCGTTTCTTTCCTTTATTTCAACAATATTGCTGTTCTTTGTGTCTGTAAAATTTTGTCTGCATTCTCGTGATCTTTTTCTTTCTTGATTCACATACAGCGATGGACACCAACTTATCGCTGGTTCGATGTCCTGATGCGCAAAGATATTGCCATTGTCATGTCATAGCTGGTCAAGAATATATAACCACACACTGACGCGTTCTACCGTACCTCGCCAAAGATCAACATTTGAGTGAATATGGAATATTGTCACTAATCCACTAAATGGAGATGGTAGAGGGGGGAAAAAGCAAAAGGCAATGAAGGGATTTTTATAAGGTAGACCAGGAACATGATGAACTTCTATCTGTCTGTGCTTTAAACAAAATTCTGCAGATTGAACAAAGGGACAAGGTTTGGGGAAAGAGAAAGTTGTGAGATGGCCTTTTGGCCTTTTGGGCTTTTTCGCAAACAACCAAAAAATGCAATATGACCCGTGATCTAATTGTCGTTTCTTTTGTGGGAAATTCACAGAAAAGAGAGGTCCAGTCTTTGCCCACTTCAAGAGTCATTGTTGGCATTTACTTCATTCTCTCTTCTAGCTTTTGCTCATTAGACAATGGTTGATCCATTTCTTATAATTGCACCTATGGAGATACTGTTTAAAAATGCAAAACTAGGGTACGGATGAATAATGAAGAATCGAAGTACAAGCTTGAGAAACAGCATTTGTCGGGAGATGCTTCCATTTCCAACCACATGATATGTCCGAGTTTATGAGCTGTGATGACAAATTGTGTTCGCATAACAATGTGGGTTGAACATGGGACGACAATTTATGCCCATCCATGAATTTTCACATTCGATTCTATCTTATGATTGAGGCTTTTATTCGGTCCGAGATGCGCTAGTTGCGGAAATATTATCATAGATGAGAGAGCCTCTTATTCTTCTTTTCTGCCTTTTGGAGAAATGTGCCTAAGTAAAAAAAATTTGTCATAGTTTCTCTAGAAACTGAAATCCATTCATTTTTTTTGCAAGTAAGATCAATGACGGAAAAAATCCAAGTAAGAAAAGCAAAGTGCATGGTTACCTTTTTTTAACTCTTTTCTTCCCATGATTCGCAAAATGAAGTACAGAAAATAAATTTAAACGAAAAAGTACAGAAAATACAGATTTGGTTTGAATGTTGGGCTGACAGAAAGCTTGGTTATTACAAGTGAAAAGGCCTTCCAAAATTGGCAAGAACATGCCTACTCCTGTACATGTTTGTCCAGTTGGGCCTCGACATTGTTATTAGGTTTCCATAAAGCATTACTCAGTGAAGTGATGAACTCGTCAGGTTTGCGCTTGTCACCATCAGAGACGCGTTCTGGAGTCTTTCTCGTCACCAACCCTCATGACGTAGAAAGACCCCAAAAGTCAACGATGGGCATGAGTAGATTAGGATGTCCTGTTGAGTGTTAGGTCTGAAGGATAGAACATATAGGAGCGAGCAAAGCATTAGAAGGCAGATGGAAGAAGTTCTGTAGGACAGACCGGAGGTGAAAGTAAGGGCGGCACCCACCACCTTCGATGGCTTCAAGAGCTTTGAGCCTCGCGTTGAGACTCCTTACGCTGGTCTTCCTCGTCGTAGCGATGGCGGTCTTGGCGGCGAACACAGAGACCTTGCAGATTAATATGAAAACGGAACTCAAAATCCGGTTTAGGGATGTCTACGCGTACCGGTGAGTTGTACCGTGTGATCTTGCTTTATCAACTTCTGCATCTTCTTCATGTCTAGGAACTCTCTGCAGGTACATGCTAGGAACCATCGTGGTTGGAGCTGCATACACTCTCATCCAAATTGTACGAACACTTCACCGCATATGCAAAATGAATCAACTGATAAACCGCGACGACGGCTCTCTCTTTGATTTCTTCACGGACAAGGTGTGTAGATATTACTGGTTGATGTATAATAGCTTTAGTATGAATCAGATTTGGACCATCGACACATAAGGTGACTCGATTAAACTCAAAGAACAACCTCAACCATGACCTAGAGTTTTGTGTTGATATTCCGCAGATCGCATCGTATCTACTGGCGACCGGATCCGCTGCAGGATTCGGGGTGACAAAGGACATGAAGTCGTTGTTAGGAGGTTTGGGATTGCCCTTCAACAAATTCTTCGACAAGGGCTATGCGGCGGCGAGCCTCCTCCTCCTCGCCTTCGTCTGCACCGCACTTCTCTCGATCCTCTCTTCATTTGCCCTCCCTAAGAAAGTCTGATGATACCCTTTTCTTCCACCTTTCGGAATTGTTATTGAATGTGTTTTGCTTGCAGTAAGGCGTGGTATGTGTATAGTTTACTATTCTCTGTGTATGCATTTTCTAGCGTCACTAAAATTAATGTAATGATGAGTAGTGGATTAATATATCTATAAAAATAGTCGTCCTTGTTATTAATTGAGGCTCAGTCTTAAAAAGTCTAACATCACTCTTTTGTGCTTCATTTTTTTTTTATGTCTTTAACACTTTCAGATAGGTAGATATGTTTTTGTGAACAGCAGCGACAAGGAAAGGCCAACTTTCTAACAATCAATTCAGGAGAACTGGGATTAGATAATCTAAGTTGATAAATTTTTTTTAGCCGAAGTAGTAATTAAATTGAGTTCTCAATCAATTGTCGGAACACCCGGCACTTCTCTTTGTTCAACTTCACGGCACCAGCATGAGCGAGAGTCAGACAGCGCGGCTATGCACTGTTCCGTGCCGGAATCACCACCCATGCGATTCGTCATTTGCCATTCCAAACGCTGATCGGGGGCCGATGTCCCCGTTGCATAGCCGAAATCACAGTAGATCCATGGCTCGTTCAAAGTTATCCAATGATTCACTCGATCGCCAAACTACTTGAAACAAACATCTACATAATTGCGAAGTAAAAATCGCTTCGAAATCGCTTGGTATGTATTTCTATATAGGTAAACAATGTTTCGTGACTCAAGTAAATCCTTTGGTGGCTCCCACAAGGTGGCTAAAAACAATTATGGAACTTAGATTTTCTAATTACTACCTGTGCGGCCGCGACTCTCCTCCTCTCGCCTTCGTTTGCGCTGCACTTCTCTCAATTCTCTCTTCATTTGCTCTCCTTAAGAAAGCTTTGATACTTCTCGGAAAAAAATACTAAAAAAGTCCTAAACCTATTACAATTATGTCAATTCAGTCCTAAATCTTTTTTTTTGTCAATTGAATCCTAAACCTTTTGCATTTGTGCCAATTCAGTCAATCCGGTCAATTTCAGCTGAAAATCGCTGACATGGACTTTGGCATTCCTACGTGGCGAGCCGGCACTGCTGTGGACAATTTTTAATGATATTTTATTAATTTTGAATTTATTTTAAAATTTTGTCTTTTTTTATTTTATTTTCTTCCTTCTTTCTTTGGTCGATCGTTGGATCGGACATAGGCTAGGGTAGGCGAGGTTGAGGGTGAGCCTCGCCATGACTCACCCAGCAATGGCGAGGTCGAGCCTCACCGTCGCGGGTGAGGCTCGCTCTTGCTAGTGGCCAGCAAGGTTGACCTCACTGGCCAGAGGAAGAAGAAAGGAAAAAAAAAAAGAAAGAGAAAAAAAAGAAAAACAAGGAAAAAGAAAAGAAAAAAGGAAAAATTGAAAAAAATATTAAAATATTTTTAAAAATTATTCAGGTCAGCGCTGGCTGCGCCATTAGGACAGCCGGCATCCATTTTAGCAGTTTCCGACCAAAATTGATTGGATGGACTGAATTGACACAAATACAAAAGGTTTAGGACTCAATTGGAAAAGAAAAGGGTTTAAAACTGAATTAGCACAATTGCAATAGGTTTATGACTTTTTTGTTTACTCTCCCGATACTTCTCTTTTCTTCCCACACTTTTCGGAATTGTTATGTGATATGTGCTTTACTTCTTGCACTATGGCGTGGGTTGTATATAGTTGATATTTTCTGAGTATGAATTTTCTATCCTCACTCAAATTAAGGTAAGGATGAGTAGTGTGTCAATACATCATGTACAATGAATTCGATGTGTTTATGTCCACATCCCGTGTTTCACATCTAAGGTCCAATTACATGCATGTGAAAATGAGAGTTAAGTAATATGCGTACTTCTCGATGTGCCATTTTCTATCAGTTTAAACTTTGAGAGGAATGATTTGAATTAAATCCCAAAGAAAGTGATTAATGAAAAATGGAGAGACTCTCGAGTATGTTTGAGAGAGCATATAGGAAAAATCTTTGCATGTGCAAAGGACTTTAAGTCAAAGGGTTTTCCCGAGATGCAATTAGTGTTTGTTGAACACTTTTTTACAAACTTTGATATCCAATTTGAAAAGTATTTTTTAAAATAAAAATGAGAGAGAGAGAGAGAAAGAGAGAGAAGAGATTGGACGAGCTTGCGGTTGACGGATCAAATGACCCAACTCAGTGCCAGTTCGTTGTGATCCCGACAACGCCACCTCGAGGTTGTGCAAACCTCGAGCCTCAGCTAAGGTCACATGATGTCGATGCTGAGTTTGCGCAACCTCTAGTGAGGGCTACCGGCATTGTAGATTTGGCTCGCCGGCGGTCAAATCTACCTCACCATCGACGCAGTGCGATGTCGGCCAGATCTGCATAGGAAAGCTGGTGAGAGTAAAACTAGAATTTAAATAGAAAGTTGGAAAAAAAAAAGAAAAGAAAAACCCCTGAATTAGTATTTCGAAAATGCTCAAAACCAATACCGGGTGGATTTGCATTGTGTTAAGGAACTTTGGAAATGCTAATTTTAACTCAAAGGCCCGTTGCCAAACACGTCGACTTGGGCACAAATGCCTCTAAAGGCTCAAAATCCTTTGCAAATGCCGAATGAAAATCACCATCACACCCATTTCCTAACTTTGGCAGTATTCCGGTCAATAATTCGAGTCCTTTGCAAATGCCGAACCAAAATCACCGTCACTCCCATTTCCCAACTTTGGCATTATTCCGGTCAATAAGTCGAGTCCTTCACGTTGTCCCCTTCACGGGTTCGTGGGCCTCTCTGTTGTGGATTCCCCATTGACTTGAAAAGTCGACCATAGGAACAACCTTTCACGTCCACATATTAGCAAAGAACAAATAGACATGCGAAAGGAGGGCAGCTGAACCAAAAATTGAGCCGGAGACGAAGACATTGTCAATGGGCGCCCCACCATCTTTGATGGCTTCGATTCAGAACCACGTGTCGAGGCTGCTGGTCATGGCTTCCCTTGCTGCATCACGCGGTGGTTCTGACAGACGAACGCCCACCTCGCTACTTGGAAGTCAATCTTGCCATTGAAGTCGAAGTCCAGTTCGAGGATGTTTATACCTACGGGTGAGTTTCCAAAAATTTTAAGCCCTCATCGTGTGATACTAAGAATGGGAAAATTACTAAAAAAGTCCTAAACCTTTTGCAATTGTACCAATTCAGTCATAAACCTTTTTTTTTTGTCAATTCAGTTCTAAACCTTTTACGATTGTGCCAATTCAGTCCATCCGGTCACTTTTGGTCAGCCGGCGCTGATGTGGACGTTGGCCGGTTGACGTGGTAATATTTTAATATTTTTTTCTCTTTCTTTTTTTTTCCCTATCTTCTTCTCCGGTCGCTGGTCCTGCGACCGACGACCGGCGAGAGGCTGAGGTCGGCAAGTTCCACCTCGCCGGCCATGGGTGAGGCCTCGCCCAGATCTGGCGAGACCTCGCCATCGTTGGGCGAGCTCGACCTCGCCCGGCCATGGCAAGGTCGACCTCGCTTGCCATGGGCGAGGCTGGCCCTCGCCGACACTGGCGAGGGCGAGCCTTGCTGTCGCCGGGCAAGGTCGAGTTCACCCCGCGACAGTGAGGTCTCGCCAAATCTGGGCGGCCTTATCGTCGCCGAGCGAGGTCGAGCTCGCCTAGCGACGGTGAGGTTGAGCCAGATCTGGGTGAGGCTCGACCTCGCCCGGCGACGGTGAGGTGGAACTTGCCGGCCTCAGTCTCTCGCCGGTCGCCGGATCGGCAACCGGGGAAAAAGAAAGAGAAAAAAATAAAATAAAAAATTCGAAAAATAATAAAAAAATATTGCCACGTCAGCCAGCTGGCCAAAAGTGGCCGGATGGACTAAATTGGCATAATTGCAAAAGGTTTAGGATTAAATTGGCAAAAAAAAAAGTTTAGGACTGAATTGGTACAATTGCAAAAGGTTAAGGACTTTTTTGGTAATTTTCCCTACTAAGAATCATGACCATTTCTGTGGGATGTAGCTGTTAATCCATAAAATGCAGTTATGCAGCCTCTAGCCTCCTTCCCTTTGCCTTCGCAGTCGCTGCAACTCTATCAATTTCCTCCTCATTTGCCGTCCCTAAGAAAGTTTGATTTTACCTTTCCGAATGGAAAACTCAATTATTCGTTCTTATTATGAATCATGAACCAATCTTAGTATATCTAACATCACTCTATTTACTTTAATTCTTTTTCTGTCTTTAACACTTCTGATAGGTTGATATGTTTCTATCTCCAGGTGAGCGGTTCCAGTTTCATACAGGTTCTACTTGGAACCTAGAACCTATCCGTTGGAACATATTCATCATTTTTTGGAACCTTGAACCTACCATGTATATCCTGAAACCTGCCCGGTCACAGATTCCAGGGTCAGTTTCAGGGTCTACTCAGGTTCCACTTATATTATTAATTGGACGATTGCAGTGAATCATCACTTTTAATGACAACCACTTGCTGCTACAATTCATTGACCACAACTTATATTTAGACACAAAAAATATGAAACATAAACAAAGTAACAGTCTCAGTCATAAAATGGAAGCTTAGACTAGTGATTCCAGATTATACATTCATCATCGGACGTCATGGAATACCGCAAGATCACGTGAAAACATAGACCAAGATAAACATAAAAAATTATTTGAGGTTCCAAGTTCCACGTACCTAAAACTTAGGAACCTACCCGTCGAAATAGGTTTCCCAATATTTAGAATATGGAATCTATCATGCATACCCTAGAACGTGAAACCGGACAAGGTTCCCCTCGGTCTGGTTCTCCGGTTCTAGATTCTACCCTAGAACCATGCTAGCCCCTATTTCTGTTAACATCAGCTACAAGGCAACGTTAACTTTCTATCGATCAATTAAGGAGAAATGGATCTAAGTTGATAAATAAGGACTACGACTATTTTTATTTACAATAAATTGACATATGCAATTCCTAAAAGGACACTAGAAGTGCCAAAAGTTGTGTACGGCGCTCACTTTAGTGCCAAAAGTTTTTTTCAGATTACTTAAGTGCCACTTTTTAAAAAAAAAACGATCACTTAAGTGTCAATTCCGATCTGGGTCGCCGGAAATCCGATGTGGCTATATTTTATTAATTTTTCAGTCCTACGTGGCTCGCCGGCGTATCCAGTTAGCATATAGCCCCTAAACGATGTCGTTTAAAAGTTATATATAGTGATCGTTTGAGTGCCAATTTTTTTTAAAAGTGATCACTTTAGTGCCAGTCGTTGTTAAAAAGTGATCTCTTTAGTGCTAGTCATTGTTAAAAAGTGATTTCTTCAGTGTCAATCGTTGTTAAAAAGTGATCATTTCAGTGTCAAGCACCGACCCAAACATGCACTGGTGTAGTTTTGTGCTTTGCATTAGCTGCACAAATACGTGCTGGTGCCTGCACAAACTAGCAGAAACTAGCTGCACCACCTCGTGTAGCTCGACCAATAAGCGCAACTGAGAACCCCTCCTTGACAAGGTAATTTCATTCCTCTCTTTCCCGCCTTGTTCTGGATAAGTGTGAGACCAATTTTCGTCCACGGAACATATTGGTAAATTACTGAAAATCTAAGTTATTAGTTGATGATTGGTGATGACATTGTTGTTCTAAATACTAATTTTACATACCACCAGCTACGAACCACAAACGCACCAACACTAACTTTGCACCAACAACACATAGCTGGTGCATCTTGTGCTTACACCAGCACAAACAACAGTTGGTGCAAGCACAACCAGCAAAATTAGCACACCAGCACAACCAAAAGCAATATATGGAAATGGCAAAAGCATAGACAAAATACAGTCTATTGATATTAAACTTAATGTTTACATTTGGTCAATAACCAACTAGAACATCCCAACATCTGGGGGTTGGCTTCCCACCAAACAAAAACATTCAACTCAACACCTAACAATATCAACCCCATCAGTCTCTGCATCAACACTTCTCTTCCCCAGGCCAAGACCCTCCGCTTTAAGGAATCGTCATTGCTGCTGTTGTTGCGCTTCGCCTTCTTAATCTCCACTCCAATCTCGTTCAGGCCAATCACGGTCCACCTCTTCTTCCTGCTCCCGATACTGCACGCATTGCACGAAGACTGCAGGTTCAAAGCATAGATCGATCGCAAGTTGTGTCAAAATCAAAATAGCTATCGAGTGGTGAAGTAATATTTGCTGGCTTATCATTCTCTATCACACTGATAAACTCAACCTCAAGGGGAGCTTCACTAGTGTCAGAATCATTCAAATCTTAAGATGAAACTTTTTGAATGCATTTTCCCTCCATGTTGACCTTCCTCGTGATCTTTTCTTCTGCAAGTCTCCCACAAAATCCCAAATGTACTATATTAAAAGGGATTAAACAAAATATTATCTCCATTTCTGGATGGAATCATTGCCAAAGATAACTTCAGTGGGCCTTTTTGCCCCCTTTTAGGCCAAAACTAACGGATGCCTCAATTACAAGTATAGAACTAACAATAACATGACAGTTCAAAAGCCCGTTGTAGGCCAATGAAACTCCATATCAGCAGAAAGGTTAAAGAGCTCAAAAGAGAAATTGATTATAAAGCTTACTTAATTGTGAAATGGAATATTAGCCAACTTAAGCTAACATAATTCAAAAAAAAAAAAAATTCAAAGGCGTAAATTTTCTTCTTTGAAAGCAATAAGAGACATTGGTTTATGAAAGAGATGAAGTTAGAAACACATATTGGAGCAACCTCAGAATCGCAGACAAATTAGAAAAATATATATATATTTTTAAAAATTATCAACGTCAGCGCCGGCCGTGCTACATAGGATGGTCAGTGTACATGTCAGTGATTTCCGATCAAAATTGATCGGATGGATTGAATTAACCACTTTTCGAAATTCTTATGTAATATGTGCTTAGCTTCTTGCACTAAGGCGTCGGTTGTATATAGTTGATATTCTCTGTGTATGCATTTTCTATCCTCACTCAAATTAAGGTAAGGATGAGTAGTGTGTCAATATATCGTGTATAATGAACTCGATGTGTTTATGTCCACATTCCGCATTTCACATCTAAGGCGCAATTACGTGCGCGTGAAAATGAGACTTATGTAATATGTGTACTTCTCGACGTGCAGTTTTTTGTCGGTCTAAACTTTGAGAGGAATGGTTTGAATTAAATCCAAAATGAAAGTGATGAACGAAAAATGGAGAGATTCTCGAGTATGTTTGGTAGAGCATCTAGAAAAGAAAACCTTTGCATTTGCAAAGGACTTTAAGTCAAAGGGTTTTTTCAAGATGCAATTAGTGTTTATTGAACACTTTTTTTTACAAACTTTGATATCCAATCTGAAAAGTGATTTTTAAAATAAAAATGAGAGAGAGAGAAAGATTGGACGAGCTCACAGTTGACGGATCAAATGATCCAACTCAGTCGCCACGTCATTGCGATTCCGACAACGCCACCTCGAGGTTGTGCAACCCCTAAAGGTCACATGACATCGACACCGAGTTTGCGCGACCTCTAGCGAGGCCTACCGGCGTCACAAATCTGGCTCGTCGGCAGTCAGATCTGACCTTTCCATCGACGTCGTGCGATGTTGGTCAGATCTACATAGGAAAGCTAGTGAGGGTAAAACTTGAATTTAGATAATTTAATAAAGGTAAAGTTGGAAGAAAAAGAGATCATTAACCCCCGAAGTAGTATTTGGCAAATGCTCGAAACCAATACTGGGTGGGATTTGCATTGTATTAAGGAACTTTAGAAATGCTAATTTTAATTCAGATGCCTGATACCATACACCTTAACTTTGGCACAAAAGCCTCTAAAGGCTCAAAATCGTTTGCAAATGCTAAACCAACGGCACCGTCACTCCCATTTCCCAACTTTGGCAGTATTCCGGTCAATAATTCGTGTCCTTCACGTTGTCCCCTTCACGGGGTCGTGGCCCTCTCTGTTGCGGGTTCCCCATTGACTTGAAAAGTCGTCCGTAGGAACGACCTTTCATGTCTCCACATATTAGCAAAGAACAAATAGACATGGGTAAGGAGGGCAGCTGAACCCAAGATTGAGCCGGAGAAGAAGACATCGTCAAGGGGCGCGCCACCATGTTTGACGGCTTCGCGGGTTCAGAACCTCGTGTCGAGGCTTCTGGTCATGGCTTCCCTTGCTGTATCACGCGGTTGTTCTGACCGATGAACGCCCACCTCTCTACTTGGAAGTCGATCTTGCCGCTGATGTCGAAGTCCAGTTCGAGGATGTTTCTACCAACGGGTGAGTTTCCAAAAATTCTATGCCCTCATCGTGCGATACTAAGAATCATGACCGTTTCTGTGGGATGTAGCTGTTAATGCATAAGATGCAGTTTTGCAGCCTCTAGCCTCCTCATCTGACCCCCGAAAAATGAGTGACTTCCATACGAACTAGCCCGCCACTGGGATTACAGTCCGTCTATAGTCATGCAGTGATTCAAAATAACAATAAGAAATTCTAAGTTTATTGAGACTGACATAGAAAATGTGTTTATTAAGCGACATGGCGGATTTATTTTAGGTGTTAGAATGTGGTCCACCCGTGCAGACGGTCAAATCACTCAGTAAACCAATGCCCTATACCAAATTTTATTAAATAATCAAGGGTCACTTCATTCACTTAATAGTAACACCGGAAAAATGATCCTCGATACAAATTAAAAACATTGTCGATGAGCTCCGTCACCAGGTTCGGACGGTGCAGCGATATTCAAGCTTAGGAGATTTTGAGATAAATTACTACATGTGAAGAACGATAACTTACTCATCATTTGCAGGATTTAGAATAAATTGAAAATTATTAAGGACAATTAAAAATATATATGTACCATGACTTACGAAAATTTAAGGTAATTTACTATGCTACTGGTCAGCTACTAAGTGTTAGCATTTTCATGTTATAGGACTCTATAGTCAAATTGTCGTCTAGAAAGATTAAAAAAAATTATTTACAAGTGCAATCGAGTTACGAACACTCATAAAGTCAATTACTACCTACGAATGCAGATGGCTTATGGTAAAATTTTAGGTAAGTTGGATAACTTCAGCATAAATACGGCCCAAAAAACTGGCTGTGTCCCCTTAATTTGTCTACGGGACCCTAGAAGCACCCGATCAGAACTACATGGCGAACGAAATGAATCATCGCTCTGTTTTCTCTGTAAATAGACTTCATTCCTTACGTTTACATCAGTCTTGGCCGCCTCGAAACTGGCGGGGACATTACGCTAAATTCACTGCAAACAGCTAACTACATGGGAGCAAAACAATGTCGAAACGTGGTAGGACACGAGAGTCTGCACAAATTTTGTGATATATTTGTTATCTGCAATTTCTTGTAGAGTACTATTCTCGGTGCCATGAACCTCAACCATTGTTTTATGAGAACTACGATTTTATTAATGGTTGAGATTGACCAAGACATGAACGAAAGCACCGTGCAGGATAAAAGATCTGCATCCCTATAAACTTACTCATAGGTGAAATCGAAAAACTTCACAATGACGTCTACCACCATGGCCGCCGGCAACCCGAAGAGGACTTGGATGATTTGCTGAAAAGCCAACTTGGCTATTTCTAGAGTCGGTCGCAACGCTTTTTTCACGTAGATAGTCACTTTTCTCTTCTTCCATCCATTTCCTGGAGCTTCCTCCTGCTGCCAACTCTGTATGATCTTCTTCTTCACACAGCCCACGTGGTAACCGTAGATCCCGCAGGTACTATTGTAAGCCCAGCCCTTGGCATCGCCCTTGCATATGGGGCACTCGCCTCGCATCCCTTCCTCAAGCTCCAGATCGATCTCCTGGTTGCCAGTCCCTCGGATCTGTTTGGGGAGCAACGTGCAGAGCGGGTGGAAGGCACGGTTACTTAGGTGCTGGCGGATGAGCCAGAAAGGATTGTACGAGCCGTGCGCCTTCTTGTGCCACACTTTGTACCTGAGCCCCAGGACATGGTCGCCACACGCGACACAGCACCGCACTTTGCGCGGCGCCGTTGCCTTGAGAATGAGATGGCCAGTCGGGTAGGGAGGGTGGTTGCTGACAGGAACGGCCCAGGAGATGTCAGGCCTCAAAAGGTCACCGCAGTGCTGGCGATAATGGAAATTGCAGTCAACGTTGATGCACGAGTAATAGGGCCCGAACCCGGTTTGTTGGCACCCGTTGCACTTGTACGTGCTGCCCCTCTTTTTCTGTTCATGATGATAAAATGGGTGGCCGTGGTGGCCAATGATTATCGGCTTCGTCATGCCCTTACTCTTTTGTTTTCCGTTGGAATCCTTTTTCTTGCTAAGAGCGTTCCTGAAGCAAGACAACATCTTCGTCCTGATGGAATATGGAGACGTAGCGGGTTGTTTCGGGCGTTGATTCGTTCTTGTTAAGGAAGGGGTTTTGAGCTCGAAATTGCAGGAACACCTTATCTCTGTCAAATTCCAAAATCCTGCCCATCAATCAAATTATGTACTGTGAAGCGCAGAGACATTTACAGGGTAGATGAGATGATAAGAAACAAACCAAACCTAGAAGGAAAGTTCGTTGTAGGTAGACTCAGACTAGGCCAGATAGTTTCTTCTCCGCTCGTTCCCTCCTTATCAATCCTGCAATATCCTGATGAAACCCGATGCAGATAACATATACAACAAGACTATCTGCCGGTCGATAGTTATGCTACAATTATCGCTTTAATTGCTTCTTGTGGAAATTTCCAGGAAGTTGTGTCCTTGACTAACACTAATTAAAGTCATTTCTCTAACGCGTAACAGTTTGCCTGACAGGAGCCCAGAGAGTACATAGCGCACTGAAACGAGAAACACTGTGCGTGACGAGAGAGTACCTGCAAGTCTGTGAAGCCCATATGCTCTTGTTAACCTCAAAGAGGTGATTTTCTTCAGCTTGGACTCAAAAGTCACCAGGATCCCGCTCTCCTAGAAAAAAATATTTGTGCCGTCTATCTATTTTATTAAGTCCAAAAATGTGTTTGTCTCGCTTTTTTAATGTTCTAGCGTTATATTTGCTACTCACGAAACTCGTTTTATCATATGCATATCTAGTCAGCTATTATGCAAACCATGCTAACCACAAAAGCCGTAACTCTACCAAAAATCTCAAATAATATATTCGTGCTACATTTATCCTAAACTAATTTTCATATCACAAAAAATCTCAAATCGGTACTTTCATGCCACATTTATCCTAAATTAATTTTTGTGTCACAAAAAATTTTAAACCGGAATAGCCATGGTTTTTGTACCCCAAACTAATATTCGTGTCATAAAAAATCCCATGCGTAAAAGAAAGTTTGAGATAAATGTGGCATGAATGTACCGGTTTAGGATTTTTTGTGACACAAAAATTAATTTGAGCTAAATATGGCAAGCGTGTATCGATTTTGGATTTTTTACGATACGAAAATTAGTTTTGGATAATTATGACACAAGTGATTTGAGATTTTTGGTGGTCTAAAATAAAAGCATGATCATTGATCGATTCTTGTATAAGGGTAGCTCATTTAGCGGGCTTTTAGTGAAAAATGGTCCTCCAACGGTTCTAATGGTTTTGATGTAAATACTGTATTTGAGGAAAATCATATTCATCAACTAATTTTGAAGTATTTGTTTTTAGATTAAACTCTAACCTAATAAAGATTATATACACCACAACCACTAAGTTGAGATGATATTTCATGTAAATACAATGAAAAAACAAAACAGAACAAAAAACCCACGAATCCCGTAATAACATGCAGTCTGTTTAGAGGGGAAAATTACCAAAAAAAGTCATAAACCTACTGCAATTATGCCAATTCAGACCTAAATATTTTTTTTGCCAATTGAGTCATAAACCTTTTACATTTCTGCCAATTCAGTCCATCCGGTTAATTTTGATTGACTGGCACTGACATGGATGCTGGGCGTCCTACATGGCACAGCCGGCGCCGACGTGAACAATTTTTAATAAATTTTTAATATTTTTCAAATTTTTTCCTTTTTTTCTTTTCTTTCTTTCTCTTTTTTTTCCTTCCCTTCTTCCTCAGCCAGTCGCCTCAGCCGGTCGCTAAGGTCCGGTGACTGGCCAGAGGTTAGGGCTGACGAGGTTGACCTTGCTGGCCTCTGGCAATGCTCGCCCCCGTTGGCCACTAGCGACCTCGCCCAGCGAGGCTTGACTAGCAAAGGCGAGGGCATGGCAACGAAGAGGGCATGGCGACAGCGCTGACATGGCGAGACTCCATCACCTCGTCATTGCCTACAACTTCTCTCTCTCTCTCTCTCTCTCTCTCTCTCTCTCTCTCTCTCTCTCTCTCTCTCTCTCTCTCTCTCTCCATTTGCTCTTGTTTGAATCGATCATTCAAGGAATTGGTAATTGGACATGATCGCTTCTTCTTGATTAGGGCATCTAAAGTTCATTTGTTGATTCTTTCGATCTGTCGACCTCGTCCTCGCCTTCACCAGTCGAGCCTTGCTCATCCATGGCGAGGCTCGCCCTTGCCTCTGGCTAGTCATCGAAATCTGGTGACCGGCTAGAGGGAGAAAGGAAGAAAAAAAAAGAGAAAGAAAAGAAAAAAAAAGGAAAAAAAATAAATTTAAAATTTTTAAAAAATTATCCACGTCAGCACTAGTTGCACCATGTAGGACGGCTAGTGTCCACGTCAGTGCTAGCGGGCCAAAATTGATCGAATGAACTGAATTGGCACAAATACAAATGTTTTATGATTCAAGTAGTAAAAAAAAAAATTTAAGATTGAATTGGCACAATTGTAATATGTTTATAATTTTTTTGGTAATTTTCCCCTGTTTAGAGTGTGGGTTAGTCCTGTAGATAATAAGCGGGACTAAATCCTGTATAAGACCTTGCATTCCCGAAATTTTGTTGTACTTTACCTGAAATCATTGCAAGGATAGTCACGCTTTATATGTAGTAATTTAACTCTATGGGTTGTAATTCTTCTATAATTTCATTTTCTAACTTATAATTAGTAATTTACCTTTATGGACGTAATTCAACGATAGAGTTCGTAATCTGAAAATGCTAGCTCTTAATAGTAAAATACCAAAATTTTTTGTAAGTGACGGTACCTAAACTGAATAGTAAGTATAATTTCTGTACGAGCCCTTGTGAATGACAAATTAGTAATCATTATTCAAATGTGGTAATTTACCTCAAAGCATCATAACGCCAATTTTCCTGAAGTTCGTAACTTCCATAAAATGTCATAAACAACCTGAGTTCATTGTAAATTATTTTCTGTAGGGTTAATACCACGAAAAACCCAAAATTAGTATATTTATGGCAAATTTACCCAAAGCTAATTTTTTGATCACAAAAAACTTCAAACTGGTACACTTGTGAAAAATTTACGCTCTATTAGTCTCTGTCAAATTTTCCTTCTGTTATGATTGAATTATGCTCGACCACTCAATTTGGGCCTTCGTCGTGTCGATGTTAGCCATCACACACGGTATAAGAACACGGATCATCATTGTGTCTCGGTCTAAGTCAAGGAAGATTCTATTTGAAAAGTTCAAAGTCGCTCATACTATCTTCACAAGGGCTCGCTCTACTTGCTAGTTGTCATGCCCATCTGGTTCGGATGGTTGGGAGGATAACGCGTTTAATTAACTAGAACGAATAATGATAAAAAATTTATATTACCATGCGGCTAATAAAATAATGATAACAAGTATGTTTCAGATAAAGAATATAATGTTTACCTATTCACGATTCTTCGGTTTTATTCCATGTGCACTTTCAAATGTTATTACAATTCCATGTAAAATATTTTACAGAGGATTACAATGATTACGTAATATAATTTTTACCATATAATGTTCTTGTCACACCTTGGTAAATATTCGTAAAAGTTACCATAGTATTGCGTTTGCTTGACCATAACTCGATTCGTTTTTCTCTTTTCCATAAAAGTACTTCGTCGAAAATTCATGCTCAGCTGCTCTCCCCCCCCCCCCCAATTCCATGAAAATGCTATTTAGAAAGTTCAAAACACGCATTGCATTAAAATCGAGCAGACCAATCTGATGCATACCTGCGATATAATGTTAAACGTGATTGATGTGATGGCTCAGCTAATGATCGCTATTCACAATTTTCAACTAATAATTTTAGGGACAAGGATAGTTTCCGGAAAATTATCCAAAAAATCCTAAACATATTATACAGCGGTCAATTCAGTCATAAATTTTTTAATTGTATCGATTTAATCCTAAATATTTTGACGATTTATCAATTTAGTCTTAAACATTTTGACGATTTGTCAATATAGACCTTTTGATCAATTATCCAAATAATAGGTTTTGGACTAAAATGGTAAAATTTCAAAAGGTTAAGGATTAAATTGACACAATTGAATGGTTTAGGACTAAATTGATACAATTAAAATGTTTAGGACTAAATTAGTTGCCGTACAATATGTTTATGACTTTTTGGATAATTTTCCCACAGTTTCCCTTTTCTTGAATTAGAGATAGAACATAATGTGATTGTGTTAGCTCTTCAAAAAAAAGTTGCTAAGCTAATGAGAATTTTGCCAGATAATGCTAGGGGAATCAACTAATAAACGGCGACGGCAGCACTCTCTTTGATTTGGTCGGCAAGAAGGCATTTCGAAATTTAAAATCATTAACCTAAGGAAATATGTTGGTTAATATATAATAGCTTTAGTATGAATCGGATTTGGACCATTGACACATAGGGTGAATCAATTAATCTCAAAGAAGAACCTCGACAATGATCTAAAGTTTTGTTTTGATATTTCGCAGATTGGATCATATGTACCGGCGACAGGAATTGCAAGCCATCAACAAATTCTTCGACAGGGCTTATGCGGCCGCAAGCCTCCTCCTCTTCGCCTTCGTCTATGCCGCACTTTTCTCGCTTCTCTCTTCATTTGCCCTCCCTAAAAAAGTTTGGTGATTCTCTTTTCTTCCCACTTTTTTGAATTTTGCGTAATGTGCATTGTTCTTGCACCTACGCGAGGGTTACATAGAATTGACACTTACTATATATTGCATTTTCTATCCTTACTCAAATTCAGGCATCACAGATTAGCACGTCGATATACAACATACAATGAACTCGATGTGCACACCCTAGGTTTTGCATCTAACGCCCGATTAAATGCATGTGAAGATGAGAGCAAAGTAGTATGTGCATACCTCATCGAGCCATTTTCTATCGATTTAAATTTTCAGAAGAATGATTCGTATTAAATCACAAATGAAAATGAACAAGGAAAAACGGAGAGACTCTCAATCCCATTGACCAACTTCCACAATATTCGGGTCAATGAATGCAAGTCCTTCACGGGGGTGGCGGCCATCTCAGATGTTGATGCCCCATTGACTTGAAAAATCAACCATAGGCATGACCTTTCATGTCTCGACATACCAGCAAAGGACAAATAGACATTCTAACCAACGGGAGTCAAGCTCGGAAAGCGAATGCTCGAAATAATGAACTCCTCCTTCATGTAACGTGTGATTTGGAATGATGTTAGAACTTAGCTTCACATGAAGCATAACCTCATCAATTCGGCCTAACACCTAAAAAAACCTCAAACTTTAACTTTTGTCTCATTTCTACTTTTTGTCTCGTAAAAAACCTCTAACTTTAGGTCATGTCCCAATTCTACCCTAAACTTTTTTTTGTCCGATAAAATACCATCAACTTTAGATCTTGTCCCAATTTTACCATAAACTATTTTTTATCTCATAAAAAACCCTCAACTTTAGGTTTAGTACTAATTTTATCCTAAACATTTTTTATCTCATAAAAAAATTCCAACTTTTTGTCAAGTTTCAATTTCACTCTAATTTTTTTGTTTCATAAAGATCTCCGTTAAAATCGCCCTCAGGATTTTACGCTTATCGATCTCTTATGCTTGGGAATGTTCCATCTCTCGCGGTCGGAGAGCGCTTGGGACACTCGAATAGCTCTTGCTTGAGAGATTTCTATCTCTCGATTGTCAACGAGAAATTTTGGACTGAGGGTTAATGGAGTCAGATTTGTGACTCAAGTAAAATTTTGTGATTTTTTATGAGATTGTAAAAATTTTATGGTAAAATTGAGACAAGACCAAAAGTTGGAGGTTTTTCATGGGGCAAAAAAAACCTTAGGGTAAAATTGGGATAGAACCTAAAGTTGAGGATTTTTTATGGGACAAAAAAAAGTTTAGGGTAGAATTGGGACATGGCTTAAAGTTGGAGGTTTTTTAAGAGATAAATAGTGTGATACTTAATGCAGAAATATCTATTAAGGTTGATATATTTCTGTCAACATCAACCCCAAGGCAACGCTGACTTCCTAACAATCGATTAAGGAGAAATGGATTAAAAAATCTAAGTTGATAAATAAGGATTAAGACCCTTTTTATTTACAATAAATTGACATCTTCAATTCCTTATCAGACCTCCGAGAAAGGAGCACCTTCCATGCGAACTTGCAAACAACTAGCAGGTACCTCAATAAACTTCATTCATTGTCCTATGAAAATAATGATTTTATTAATGGTTGAGATTTAGCGAAACATCGAGAAAAGTACCGTGCAAAATAAAAGATCTGCATCCTTCTGAACTTAGGCGCAGGTAAAGTAATCATAATTCAAAAACCTCTATGATGATGTCGCCGATGTATGCTGACGGGCCGATGTCTGCTGACGAGAAACCGAAGAGGGCTCCGGCGATGAGCTGAAGAGCCACTTTTGCTATTTCCAGAATCAGCCGCAACGCTTTTTTCACGTAGATAGTCACTTTACTCTTTCGTGAAGTTTCCTTCTGCTGCAGACCCTGCATAATCTTCTCCTTCATACACCCGACGTGGCAACAGTAGTTCCCCATGGTACTGTTGTAAGCCCATGCCTTGGAATTGCCCTTGCATATGAGGCACTCGCCTTGGATCCTTTTCATGAGCTGCAGCACGATCCCATGTTCGCGACTCTCTTGGATCTGCGCCGGGAGTGACGCGCAGAGCGGGTGGAAGGCACGGTTGATTAGGTGCTGGTAGAGGCGCCAGTAAGGATTGCGCGAGCCGTGCGCCTTCTTGTGCCGCCATTTGTACCTGAGCATCCGGACTCTGTCGCCGCACGCGACGCAGCGCCGCACTTTGCGCGGTGCCGTCTCCTTTAACACGAGATCCCCAGTCGGGTAGGGAGGGTAGTTGCCGACAGAAGCGGCCGAGGAGGAGTCAGAACTTAAAAGTTTGCTGCAGCACGGGTGATAATAGAGATTACAGCCGTCGTTGCACGAGTAATAGGGCCCGAACCCCGGTTGTTGGCACCCACTGCACTCGTAGGTGCTGCCCTTTTTCTTCTGCTCATGATAAAAAAGTTGATGGTGGTGCTGGCTTCGAATGATTATGGGCTTCTTCTTCCTGAAGAAAGACGACATCTTCGTGCCGATGAAAAGTGGAGATTTAGCGGGTTGTGTCCGGCGTTGATTCGTTCTTGTTAAGGAAGGGGGTTTGAGCTTGAAATTGCAGGAACTTCTTTATCTCTGTCAAATTCCAAAACTCCTGCGCATCAAATCAAATCATGGACTGTGCAAAACAGAGGTAGTTGCAGGTTAGATGAGTTGATAGGACAAAAGGCCAAACCTAGAACGAAAGCTTGGTGCAAGGAGACTCAGACCAAGCCAGATAGCTTCTTCTCCTCTCGTTCCCTCCTCCTTACCAATCCTGCACTATCCTCGTGTACACGAGAAATGGGAATCATTGCAGTGATGAAAACATTTGCTATAAATACCCTAATTACCGCATTTGCTCGTCTTTCTTTTTGGAAATTTCGCGGAGCTAAACCAACTACATAAACCCCACTTGTGCAAGTAGATTCTATTTGAATCATTCTTTTGACGTGTTATCCCGGTCGTACAAAAACCTGCACTGAATAGTAATCATAATTTCCCTATGACCATTTCCGAACCACCGATTAGTAATCATTATTCAAATGTAGCAATTTACCTCAAAGCATCTTATAAAGGCTGAATTTCCTAGAGTTCGTAACTTCCGTAAAATATCATAAACAATCCGAGTTCGTTGTAAATTATTTCCTCTATTATTAGTAACTTAACACAATAATCATGATATCCAAGTACTGTTCGTAAATTTAAAGGCCCACTGTGAATAATTCGTAATTTCAAAAAATAAATAGGAACATTGACAAGTTTCTTTATAATCACTCATCTTCCTTAAATGTGCATAAGTTACTATCAATTTAAAATCTTCCGAGGATCGGACTATATTCTCTCTTATCTAACGGCTCAGATTGAATGGGAACGATCCCGTATTTTCCTATACGTGACCATCGAGTTTCCTTTTGTCATGATGGATTATGCTCATCCACTCGATTCGTGCCTTTGTCATGTCGACACGGTAGGAACACGGACCAAGACGGAGTCTCAGTCTAAGTCAACGAAGTTTCTATTTGAAAAGATCAAAGTCGCTCCTACTATCTTCACAAAGGCTCATTATAATGAAAAGGAAACATAAAACAGGACAATATCAAAGCAGTGATTTCCATAATATTGTTTTGAAGGCGTGTTGGTTATAGAATGATTCTTAATCATTATAGAAGGTAAGCCCCCCAAGTCAACGAGGATACCATTCGAAAAGTTCAAAGTCACACGTATCTTTATCAACCGAGTAGAACAAGCTAATGCGAACTGGCGATATAATGTTAAGCATGCTAATTATTCACGAAGACTTGATGTAACGACTCAACACATTTATATATATATATAAGAGCCAATGGAGGTGCTATTCGAGAATTTCGACATGCACTATATTTAAAACTTGAGCAAAACAAGCTAATTAAAATCGGCAATATAATGTTAAGCTTTCTAATTATTTATTAAGGCTTGATGTAACTAATTATGTACAACAAGGCATAATTTATGTCACCCTTATCTGTGATTTCTCCATTCGTGTTCAAGTGTGGGTAGAGTTTGTTTAAAATGTAGGTACATCTCGCAGATAAAAAAAAATGGGACAAGTCCCCTGTAAGACTGTAATGATCTTGAAATTCGTTGTAATTCATCTGAAATCATCTCAAGGTTGGTCATGCTTTATATAGTAATTTAACTTTATGAGTCGTAATTCCATCTATAGTCGTGTTTTAACTCGTTTTTGACTTATATCTAATAATTTACCTTTATGGACGTAATTTCATTATAGAGTTCGTAATCTGCAAATGCTAACACTTAATAATTTAACATAACATAGTAAAATACCATATATTGTTACAAGGGATGGTACCTCTTCTAAATAGTTTTCCTCAATAATTGTAAATTTCCTACTATCCCTTGTGAATGACAACTTAGTAATAGTAACCATTATTCAAATGCAGTAACTTACCTTAAAGTCTCATAAGGCTAAATTTCCTAGAGTTCGCAAGTTCCATGAAATATCGTAAACCACCTGAATTCGTTGCAAATTATTTTCTCTATGCTTAATATCTTCCCTCAATCGTCACACCATTCCTTTTACAGTTCACAAACTTAAGGGCTCTATCGTGAGTAATTCTTAATTTTCTAGAATCAATAGCAACATTGAGAATTTTATAGTCAGTAAATTCCCTTAAATGTTTGTAAGTTACTATCATTCTAAAATCTGTCAATGGTTGAAATTTATTCTCTCTTAATATAACAACTATGATTGAACGAGACTAATCCTGTATTTTCCTATATGTGACTGTAAATTTCCTTCTCTTACGATTGAATTTGCTCAACCACTGATTTATTGCTTTTGACATGTCGATGTAAGCCAATAAGAAAATAACCGAATACGATAGGAACACAGACCATAATATCTCTCTCTCTCTCTCCATGAAGAATCTGAAAAGTTCACAATCACACATACTATCTTTATAAATCGAGCCAAACAAGCTAATGCAAACTGGAAATATAATGCAACGCGTGCTAATTATTTATTGAGACGATTAAATGATTTAACTCATAATATAGAACACACACACACACACGCACACACACATATCTAAGTCAATACAAATGCCATTTAAAAGTTCGTCGCACACTATATTCATAAATCGAGTGGAACAAGCTAATGCAAACCCGCTATATATTGTTAACTGTGCTAATTATACATTAAGACCTGAACTAATCATATACATTAAGGCATAATTTATGTCAGCTTATTTCGTGATTTATCTGTTCGTGTACAAGTAAAGTCTATACATATTCTTGCAATGCTGTTAAACATTCTAGCCCAAGTTAATTCTCCACACCTTCTATTCTATCATGTGAATATCTTCCATTATCATAAATCAAATCTAGAATGTCTGTCACCTGTCGCTATGTGGAAATTTCGCAATGTTACACTTGAACTCTGACTTACTTTAAGAGGATACTTCTCCACACATTAGGAATCTAAGATAGGATCACCAAGAAGGTACCGTACAGTGTATCTCAACATCAGGAATTTTGGACAACAGCCCGTGAGTTTAGACTTTGAATTTTGCAGACAATCGAAGACAACTATCGAACAACTCGCTGGTTGTCATGACCATCTGGTTATGGTGGTTCGTGGGAGAACACATTTAATTTCCTAGAATGGATGTGATTCACTCACATCAAATTCGCACTTTAAAATTTTATTATAATTCTCTATCAAATATCTTATAGAGGATTACAATGACTACCTAATATAATTTATACCAAATTCTTAGCAAGACGGCTTCCCTTTCAAGAAAGGCAGGAATCAATGTTTAATTCTTAAAGACTCGGTATTAGAAGTAGTACATATGTACAATCCACAAAACTAACCAATGTACAAGAGATAGTTCATCACATCGGTGAAAAGTATAAATAAATTCTGCAATGTATTTGATTAAATCATGCTCAACTACTCAATTATTGCCTTTGTCAAGTCGATGTAAGCAAAAAAGTGGAACATGATAGGAACACATACCTCTCTCTCCCTGAGTCGATAAAAATGATATTTAGAAAAGTTCAAAACGTGTACTATATTTATAAATCGAGCAGACCAATCTAATGTATACCAATAATATTTGCTTGATGTAACGGCTTAACTTAGAATTGGGATTCACAATTTTCAACTAATAATTTTAGGGACATGTACAGTTTCTTTTACTTGAATTAGAAATAGAACATACTGTGATTAAGTCAGCTCTTGAAAAAAAATTATTTTTTTGCTAGGGTAATGAGAATTTTGCAAGTACATGCTGAGGGAATCAACTGATAAACGGCGACGGCAGCACTCTCTTTGATTTCTTCGGCAACAAGGTACGCAGAAATTTAAAATTCATTAACCTAAGGAAATATATTGGTTAACACACAATGGCTTTAGTATGAATCAGATTTGGACCATCGACGCGTAAGGTGAATCAATTAATCTCAGAGAAGAACCTCAACCATGACCTAAATTTTTATTTGATATTTCGCAGATTGCATCATATGTATTGGGACGGGAGCAGCTGTCGACATATTCTTCGACAAGGCTCGTGCAGCCGCAAACCACTTCCTCTTCGCCTTCGTCTGCGCCGCACTTCTCTCACTTCTCTCTTCATTTTCCCTCCCTGCAAAGGTTTAAAGATTCTCTTTTCTTCCTACTGTTTTGAATTTTGCGTAATGTGCGTTTTGCTTGCACCAATGCAAGGGTTATATACAATGGACACTTTCTATGTATTGCATTTTCTATCCTCACTCAAATTCAGGTAAAGCCAAAAAAAAGAAGAAATTCAGGTAATGCAGGCTAGCGCATCAATATATAGTATCCAATGAACTTGATATGCCCACCCCACGTTTCACATCTAAGGCCCGATTACATGCATGTGAAGATGAGAATAGAGTTATATGGGTATATCTCGTTGCACCATTTTCTATCAATATAAACTTTGAGGAGAACCATTCGTGTTTAATTCCAAATGAGAATGATAAAGGGAAAACGGAGAGACTCTCAATCCCAATTGCCAACTTCCACAATATTCGGGTCAATGATTGCAGTCCTTCACGGGGAGGCGGCCATCTCAATTGTTGATTCCCCATTGACTTGAAAAGTCAACCGCAGGCACGACCGTTCACGTCTCAACATACTGGCAAAGGAGGTAAAGCGAAGACCCGTCAGACGGGTAGGTCGAGTCGAAAATAGTCTGATCTAAATTGATCAATTTCACATGTTTTGACCCATTTTCATGCAATACAAATCTAGTAACCCAAACCAAATCTGACTAATATTACTAAAATACTTTCATATTTAACTAAATTTGGAAAATTCATACTCAAATTGTGGTGAGAACGCGGAGCAAGCGAGCGTGAAATCAAGTGAGGCCAAAAGAGAGTGAAGAGAGAGTCATAAAAGTGGGTTGGATTGTGAAACCGTTTACCACTCGTATTATTTTAGTCTTTATCATTCTAAACCCATTTATAACCCATTTAGTAAATAACTAATCCATATAACAACTTAGCCTATTAAATATATGATAAGAAATGGTCTATGATCCATTTTGACAAGTCTAGTAAAGAGTGAATAGCTGAATCCAAAATTGAGCTGCAGTTGGAGACATCATCAATGAGCGAGCCATTTCAGGGTTCAGAACCTCGTGTTGAGGCTACTAGTCATGGCTCCGCTGCCGTGTCCTACGGTTGTTTTGACGACGAATGCCCGCCTAGCTACTTGGAAGCCAATCTTGCCACTCAAGTCAAAGTCTGGTTCGAGGATGT